CGATAACAACGTATTGATATTTGTATTGAAAATTTACAGAAATTTGAAAGTGGTGCCTGGCCACTATGTGATATAGTATTAGGTGATGAAAGTTGGTTTTACCATCGAAAAATTAAATCAAAACAAGAATCAAAAGCATGGGTAGCAAAAGAAGAAAGTGCCTCAACTGAAGTTAGAAGACAAGTATTCGAAGAAAAAACAATGTTCGTTATTTTTTTATGACAAATGAACCATTACTTATTCATCAGGTACCTTCTGAAACATCAATCAATGCCATGTATTATCGTGATGAATGTTTAAAAGATTTAGTCAAAATGTTACACAAAAAAAGACCATTATCAACAACAAATCACATTAAGCTGCATCATGATAATGCACAACCACATATGAATGATATTGTTGTTAATTATCTTCAAGAAGAAAAAATCAACGTTATGGCTCATCCACCATATTCACTTGACCTTGCTCCTTCAGACTTTTGGTTGTTCAATTGTCTGAAACGTACCCTTGATACATATCCAAATACTACAAGTTTAGCTAATACGTTATCCAAAGAGCTCAATTCATTACCTATTCAAGAATACCAAAAGACATTCCAGAAGTGGACTGAAAGGATGAAACTTTGTATTGAACATCGTGGGGACTACTTCGAACATTTACTGTAAAAAGATTAGCAAAATGTTTTTTCTATGAATAAATATTTGAAAGTCCGAGAACTTATTGACTAACTTATGTATTAACGACCATATGAGTACAATCATAGAAAAAAGTTTTTGAAAAAATCGTTTTAATGTAATATATTTAATCAGAACGACAGCAGCGGTTTTTAAGATTTATTTGTTCGGAGATTTTTCTATATGGTCCTGCTATATATTTCATTATCATACAGACTGCATTAAACCGAGCACAGGTACCTCACTGAGGATGGTGACAAAAAACGACACAAAAGTAAAGCTACCAGCTGAACGTGATGGCTAGCTCTTCTGAACGATGACTCTCTTTTAGTATAGTTCAAATATATTATCTGTTCTCAATAAATAAATCTAGATAAATTCGTTGGCTTCAATAATTTGATCAATTTCAAAAAAAATAATAAATCTCCGTATATACTTCATGAAAGCTGTGAATAAGTGAAAATTTAATCTTATAAATCGTAATTTGTTTATAAAAGCCAATAAAAGCTTTTTTGAATGAATGGCTCCAGTTAAACAGTCGAGTCAACGTCACTCAATGTTCAAGTTTGAGTCAAGTCAGAGTCTTGAGACAAATGTGACTCAAATCAACTCGAGTTCATTTCATGACTTAAACTCATCTAGCTTTGAACTAGCTTGCCGTCGTTAGCAATGCTGAAAAAATGGTTTTGAAAGTCAATTGGATAAGTCAACTGATAAAAAACAGGTTCTTATACTACTTTTTAAGGATAGTGAAGGCTTCTCAACTTCATATTGTTTAATTGGATATATCAATGTTATTGAGAAAGAGAACAATGATGATTAATATTGTTTTAGTTGTCTTACTCAGACAGGATCCACCCGTATAGGCGCCATCATTGATCCATTCCCTAACTGAAGTTTGATGCCAACATATTTGAGCTGAAGTCAGATGCGTCCATGCTATACAGTTGTTATTTTGATCACATTTTGTCATACAATCTTGCGGTGTAAAAACATAGCCAGTTACTTGCTGACGATCGCCAGCATAATAACCACCGCTTTTCATTTCTATACACGTAGTTTGTTTCAGTTTCGGTCCTGTAAAACAATAAATTGAAAAATAAATGATAATCAAATCATATTATACCAATGTCCAAATATAAAGTTAACGTTTTATCTGACATATGTTCAATCTGAACAATCAAAAAACTATATATTTAGAGTTACTAGCTGATTCATGTTCTTTCAGAAATAATACATCCCTGAAGAAATGGCACATCAAAGAAAATCGGAAATCATTAGCAACAAGTAACGTTCATCGACATTGAATGTCGATTCCCTTGGCCCTAGACTGACGGAATGATGACAAAGATGTCCTTATATATTTTTAAATAAAATGAATTCTGTATAATGACGAGTTTATGAGAAATTATAAATATTTGTAACACGTTGTATATTACACACTATAGATATACTCAAATAGTTCACAGAAAATATGGGCAGATGCTAATGTACATGATAAAATTTATCCTCTAGACAATTATTACGACCAACATGGTGATTTTTGTCAAAGTAATGGGCATTGCTAATACGGACATGCCCAATTGTGACACAGACATGATCATTTCAGCCATAAGAATGGTCAACTGTGCCATAGAAATGGTTGATTGTGCCGTGAAAACACTGAATTAAGCCAAACGAACGGTCACCTGTATAATGAACATGGCCAATTGTGTCAAATAAATGGTCCCTGTACCACCAAAGCGGTACTTCTGCACTATGAAAATGGTCAAATGTACTATGAATTTGGTACTTTCTACCACGAAAATGCACATTTCTACCATGACTATGGGACGTTGTACCACGAAAATGATCACTTGTACCACGACTATGGTACTTGGTACCATAAAAATGGTCACTTGTACCACGACTATGGTACTTGGTACCATAAAAATGGTCACTTGTACCACGACTATGGCACCTTATACCATAAAAATGGTCACTTGAACCACGACTCTGGTACTTTGTACCACAAAAATGGTCACCTCTACCATCACTATGGTACTTTGTACCATAAAAACGGTCACTTGTATCACGAATTTGGTACTTTCTACCACGAAAATGCACACTTGTACCATGATTATGCCACGTTTTACCACGAAAATGCTTATTTTTACCATCACTATGGTTGTTTGTACCACCAAAATGGTCACTTGTACCATGACTATGGTACTATGTACCGCGAAAATGGTCACTTGTACCATGATTTGGTACTTTGTACCACGAAAATGGTCACTTCTACCATCACTATGGTACTTTGTACCACGAAAATGGTCACTTGTACCACGAATTTGGTACTTCGTAGCGCGAAAGGGGTCACTTGTATCATCATTATCGCACTTTGTATCACAAAAATGGTCACTTGTACCACGACTATTGTACTTTGTACCACGAAAATCGTCACTTGTACCACGAATTTGGTACTTTGTAGCGGGACAAGGGTCACTTTTACTATCACTATCGTACTTTCCATCACAAAAATCGTCACTTGTACCATGACTATGATACTTTGTACCACGAAAATGGTCACTTGTACCATCACTATGGTACCTTGTACCATCACTATCGTACTTTGTACCACGAAAATGGTCACTTGTACCACGAATTTGGTACCTTGTACCACAAAAATGGTCACTTGTACCATGACTATGGTACTTTGTACCACAAAAATGGTCACTTGTACCATCACTATGGTACTTTGTTCCACGAAAATGCTCACTTGTATCATCACCATAGTACTTTGCACCACGGAAATGGTAGCTTGTACCAGCACTATCGTACTTTATACCACAGAAATGATCACTTCTACAATCACTATGGTACTTTGTACCATCAAAACGGTCACATGTACCACGAATCTGGTATTTTCTACCAGAAAAATGCACACTTGTACGATGATTCTGGCACGTTGTACCAAGAAAGTGATCACTTGTACCATCGCTATGGTACTTTCTACCACGAAAATGCACACTTGTACCACGAATTTGGTACTTTGTACCAGGAAAATGGTTATTTGTAACATTACTATGGTAGTTTGTACCACGAAAATGGTCACTAGTACCACGAATTGGGTACTTTGTGGCGCGAAAATGGTCACTTGTACCATAACTCTGGTACTTTGTACCATAAAAACGGTCACTTGTGCCACGACTGTGGTACTTTGTAGCACAAAAATGGTCACTTGTACCATGACTATGGTACTTTGTACCACAAAAATGGTCATTTGTACCAAGTGTTACACACAGACAGTCAGACAGACAGAGGTGAATTTCCGTTTCTAGACCCTAGCCTTTCTGTCTAGGGCCAAGTGAGTCGACATTCGATGTCGATGAACGTTGCTTGTGGTACTTTGTGCCGCAAAAATGGTCATTTGTAGCAAGCGTTACAGACAGACAGAGAGACAGACACAGGTGAATTTCCGTTTCTAGGCCCTAGCCTTTCGGTCTAGGGGATATAAATACATAAGTATGCATTTCCATGGCATTACAGTAAGGATCTTTTTTTTTAGCTAATTGTAGTTAAAATAAGTTTTTTCTTGGTTTTTGCAACCTGCTCTCTCAACATATTGCACTAATTTTTATATATGAATACTTTCTTTTTTGTGAATTTTTTTGTTGAAATTGTACAAATGCAATGCAATTCGTCCATATATATATGTATAAGTGTATGATATTTTTAAGAATTGAAAAACAGCCTGTTTCATAATGCTTAGACAGCCTTGGAGGCTGTGCCAAGGGACATGTCATCTGATGTAATTCTTTTCTTTCTCTGTATGATATTATACAATTGATAATACTTTGCAGGGTCGCTTCACAGTTACGCTTATCGATGAATGCTTGAGCCTAGTTCTGTTTGAGTTGTAATGTACTTCTCATATTTTATCTTTTCTGTCTCATATCTCTCGTATATAGGCTAGTGTTCTATGTGAAATTGAACAGAACTGGACGATGTAGTAGCAAAGTGAACACCGTCTACCGAGGATTGTGGTAACGCTACTCCTCCAATTCGTGATTGTGATAACAATAAAATAAATGCTGGAGCAGTGACGAAATAGTCTATTCATTTTAATTTTTTGTTACAGAGACGAAAAAAGACAACGATAAAGTAATGTTTCCGTTTACTTACCAATGCAAGATCCACTCATGTAATTGACATCATTGACTTTTTCTCTAACTGTAAATTGAGGATAACATAGTTTGATCGTAGGTAAGTAGGACCATGCCAAACATCTTTGATCTAGATAACAATGATTCATGCAGTCTTCCGCTGAAGGAACATTGCGAATTTCTAGCATTCGATCGCCGGCATAATAACCTCCTGCTATGATTTCCGTGCACTGGGTTGGTATTGTTGCCTTTCCTGAACAATAACAAAGTGAAAAATAATAACAAGCGTGTTTAATGAATTTCTAGATGAAAGAATCGCGCTATGTCTAAGTCTCTTCAATCGCAAACCTAGGACTGTACTTAGTGAAAGAGAACGAAAAATCTCCATCGTATACGACTGTTTCAAGTAATGATTGTATGTAGTGTAAGATAATGATTAATGATCATCTTACACGACTGTCGTACATGACCATTATGTAGGATGGTCTTAGAGCATTGTACGTAAGTAATGAGTTGAAAAGAAGATGTTTTAGGTTTTCTTCTTCTGATATTTTTCACCTGTAATATTGTGTTTGTCACACGGTAACCACCAAACCTGATTTAAATATGAGGTACTGTCTCGGATTCAACTGATGAATTTCATGTATTGGGAGCGCTATGGGATGATGATGTCATGTTTATGTTCTCATGTGGCTCATCTAGAGATGAGCAAGAATAACGTTGTTTGATTGTGAATCAGTGAAATTGAGTACTTTCAAAAGAATTTTAAACTAACTCAATATAGTTAAGTAAGCGGTAAGTCTGAGAATTGTCGAGTCTAAAAACACGTTTTCAAGCTTCTCATCATATGCATGAGAAAACCAATACTGTTTCAGGAGTTTCACTACGGGAAAAAAAGGTATTCAGCAAATCTTATAGTTCTTTATCTGTACTCATCAAGGAATGATCAAAATGTTTTGAGAGCATCTAAACTAATTTCTTTACAAAGAAAATGGATTCATTTTCAGTAAATAAATGTGATTTGGATATGGAAAAGCATTTTAAGTGTTTTCCCTCTTCATCCTTAGCCGAACCATGAAAAACTATGCAGGTAAATTTAGTAGCATACCGGTAGGTTTTCTGGAAAAATTTGCCGAAGGCATTCTGTCACAAAATCAAACGAGCATGTCACATGTAGACTTTAATTCATAATTGAATAAAATATTTATCAAGGAAATTCATCAACAAAAAGCACCTCAAAAGTTGTGAAAGAATACAGAGCATCCAGAAAATATTTCCCAAAACGTTATTTCATAGAGAGTAGATGAGGATGACAGGGTCGATGTGTTTGCACTGCAAGAAATTCGGTTTCATGAAATTTTCTGTTCGACATTTTGTGTTTCGCGTTTCAAACATCAATTCAAATTGACCGAGATACAAGGCAACTCCAAGCCAAAACGGATCCATGAAGGATGATGTTTTATATTTGCACCCAGCATTGATCATCCTTATAATTTTTTTCCTTTTGAAAAATGTATCAAAAATACAATATCGATCGAGTTTTCAGAAGCCATAAAAAGTTTTTGGAACACTAGCCTCTGACTTTACTAAGATGACGAAGAGAAGTGTTGTCAATCATTGTTGTCTTTTATGGTTTGTATGAATTACTTGTAACTTTTCTTTCTGTCTCTTAATTCACACACTGCATGGACCATGAAAGTGGTCGTTAGTTATCTGCAAAATAAAAAACATTCAACAGACATTTGATTCCATCAAAACTCGCTTCTTCAAAAAGAAGATAAGAACCTCTTTGTCTTCAACACATTTCTCTGAATGAGATGCAAACAATATTGAGAGTTCTAATCACTTTGTGAAGATACAAGCAGTCTCCTTTTGACTTTAAAAAATTTTTGTGGTTTTTTTTCGCCTAATATCTCCATCTTCTATCCTAAGTTAGACAAATACAAGTCACAACCTCTTGATAGTTAGATGTGACCAATACATCCATTAAAACTTCATCTTCAAATATGACAATAAAGAGAATATGAGACCACTAAACTCGTCGACTCTACCGTCTCGATGGTTCATGAAACGATTTACTAAACTCAAGCAGTTTTGAAAGAACTTTCGAATCGTTACATTTTTACAAAGTCTGTTAGAAATAAATGGAAAGATACAAAAGATCAATAAACCTTTCATAGAGTTCGTGGGAGCGTTTTTTGTGTTATCTATTTATCGAAGAGTTAACGAAAGTGTCTCGAGTCACAAAGCATTAAAGCGTAATCAAGACTAAGATACGTTTTCATAGGCCCTTTCCAATAGCTGATAAAAGAGTTAGTAGTTCCTCATAGTCTACCAAAAATCTTCTTGAGCAGCAAATGAACAGCTTTGATCCATTGCATTTTTATTAATTATTTTTTTCTTTTATTTCTATATTCATGTTTTTAACAGTGTATAAGAGTAGCCATCGACTAGATTTGCTGTGGACATGTAAGCGTGGCTTTCTGCTCAAATTTCAGACATAGAAAAGTATCCAATTACTTACGTTCCTCGACGAATTGATCGTTATTATCATCGAATCGAAGTTGCTTTAGAATACGCAGCAGACTTTTGTAATTCAGTTCACTTCTTTCTTCATAACGCTCATCGAACTCGTTCAACTCGTCCAATTCGAATGCTGCAGCATTGGAATTTAACATAATCATTGCGATCAAGAAAATACCGACTAACGTTGGCATTGTATGACAGCGATTGGTCCTATATTAATAATAAAACAGAGAAGTTGTTTTGTTCTTATCGATGTCTATGGCTCATCTTGCATCTTATATTGTCATAATGCTTACGAACTATAGTTTCTGCTTAGGTAAATGTAAATCTTCTTTTCACTGTTTTTATTGATCACTCGAAAGAGTATTGTAAATCAGATCTAGATAAATTTTCTCACTTTCATAGGAAAAAAGTGTGTTATGCTAGCTCACTTACTATCATATCTCAGTATGTATTTAATAGGCACTCTCTTGACTGGTTCATATTTAGGAAGGCAAACGGAACACGTGAGGGCTCGTGTTAAAAATTTGAAGACGTTCGTGATGTGAAATTGAAAGAAAATAGGTTAGGACTTTAGTGTTGCAAAAAATGGCGCCAGATTAGATAAGACTAACACATGAATAACAATTGTCAACAGTAGCTGCTGCGGAAATTCAAGGAAGTCAGACCGAATCTGATGGATGCTTGTGACTAGATAGCATTTATTGAGATCCATTTTCAACTGATTCCTAATTGGAACTGAAAGTCAAACATTTGTAAGAAAATTCTACCGAATCCTACCATATTACATCACTATCGAATGATATCCACTACAATTGCATCAGATATAATCGAAATAGATTCTGAAAATTTTTGTGTTGATGTGCGATTTGCATATACTCTCATCTGTAATACTCATCATCAAAAACAGTTCTAGTCAACAAAGTTGACACGAAAGAGAAATAAAACGACTTACCGAGGCATATTCGGACGAGTGTAATGTAATAGTAAGATCAGAGGTAATGTCCAACGGAAAAAATCAAAGTATGATTGATTCGTCTCGCTTTTCGCTTAAAAAAATGTGAAGTAAAATGCACAACAAACAGAGGTATTTATACTTCTAATAGCTGCAATAACCAAACTATTCAAGCGTAGCAGCGTTTTTTTATCATACGTGAAAGAAATGCAACAAAATCGTTCTATCTTTTTTTCAGTACGAAAACAGAAAAATGTTATGGTACTGTTAAATCAACTTTTGTTTCAACTTTTTTCCGAGTTGCAACTGCTACGGCCGATTTCTTAGAGTCCTTGCACATAAGGGAGAAATGGTTATGGCAAAACATGGCTCCCTAGGGGTCTAGTAATTTTGCTCATATTTTTACAATAGAATGAAGTAAATGAAAGAAAAATGAGCTGGAACTTTCAACCCAAACCAAGGTACTTTACAAAAAAATATCCAAGTTGCTATCAGAGAAATTGGAATCATCTATTTTTTTCGGAATGATGTGCCACATTGAATTTGCATTTTCTGGTCAACCACACGAGATCGAGCCCAGAAAGGTTTAGCAAAAATGCAACC